ATTATTCTTGCATTGAAAAAGTATTCATTTCTTTTGTCCTCCTTGCAAGAAAACCTAAAGGAAGAAGGTGAGGATAATTTAGCATCTTGATTTTTTTTTTCTGGATTTCTTCAAAAGATTTGTTTTCCCTTTTATTGCACTGTCTATAGAGGGCCTGTTATGTATTCTTCATGCGGGAATGGAACTGTTGCCATGTGGACTACTGCAAAGGGATGGGAAAGCCACCTCTGTGCCTGGCAAAGAGACACCACGTTGCAATACAGTCGCAAATCTGTTGCTAAGGAATGCTTGTGGGGCTTTGCGTGGTGGCTTTTGTGTATCTTTTAAGTATTAATCACTATTTACCATTATTGTATTAATTATTATTATTATTATTGTTATTGTTATTGTTTTTGTTATTATTATTTTTTTGATGTTATTATTATTATTATTATTATTATTATTATTATTATTATTATTTTTATTTTTATTATTGTTATTATTATTATTGTTATTATTATTATTATTGTTATTATTATTATTGTTATTATTATTATTATTATTATTGTTATTATTATTATTATTATTATTATTATTATTATTATTATTATTATTATTATTATTATTGTTATTGTTATTATTATTATTGTTATTATTATTATTGTTATTATTATTGTTATTATTATTATTATTATTATTATTATTATTATTATTATTATTATTATTATTATTATTATTATTGCTATCATCGTTATTATTATTATTATTATTATTATTATTATTATTATTATTATTATTATTATTATTATTATTATTATTATTATTATTATTATTATTATTGTTATTATTATTGTTATTATTATGGTACTTATCATCTTCATTATGATGGTGATTATGATGATATGTTTTACTATTATTATTACTATTTATGTTGTTATTATTATTTATCAAGATAGGGTGTCATTTATCTTCTGTGGTTCTTTTTGCACTTTTCCATTACTTTAATTAAAGAAAGTTATAGCTTTGAAGAAAACGTGCATACACCTGCACAAGCACTGAAGATCCAGACAAAGGAAAATATTTAGCCTAGTTTCTAATGAATCACAACTGTAGGACTGAATATTAGATAGAAAACTAGAATAGAGAAAGACATAATGCATAGTTCTATTGCTTGAGTAGATAGTGTTTTAATAATGAAGGGAAATCAATCTGCGTGTTAGGGAAGCATGTGAATGAGGTCGAACGAGGAAAAAGAATGCTTTTGTAGGTTTCCTAAAGGTATAGAGAAAGGGAGTTCATGAATGATTCATTCAGTAGGACTATAAGCACACTTTATTTTATAATGAGTTCTCTAAATTTGGAATGTGGGTAGTTAACCATGAATATACAGTTAAGTTTGTGTTTACTCTTAAGTAGTTGTATTATGTATTGTCCTTTTGTTGTTGTCTGTTGTAAATGGGGTAATTGTTAATTATGTAATACACTTACCTTTGCCATTATATTTTAAATTATTTTGGTTGCTCTCTTTTTCCTTTCTTCACCTACAATAGAGTGTTATAGTATTTACTTACATTTTAGTCATTTGTTACATTTGCTTCTTGAGTTTAATACATGAGTAAATATGAGAAGGGTTGTGTATTTGACTTGTTGTTAATGATCTAAAATACTCTTACATTGTTCATGGTGGAAACTTTTACTATTAAAGCTTTGTTTTTTTTTTCGATTGTAATTCATGTGTTAGTGTATGTGTTATGTACATCATGGATTTATGTGTTGATTTATTTTAATGATTAATATTATTTTAATTGGATTGGTGTCAGATATTTCAAATGACTTTAATAAAAAGCATTATATTTTACTTGTATAATGCTTAATAAGATGGGAGAGCTGGCATTAAGTTTCATTAGATTAAAGTTTAATGTGAAGTGAGAGCTTCCAATATGGTATATTTTACTCAAATCAATAATTTTTAGATGTTATCCTTGCTGTGGTGATTAAAGGAATTATAGCTTAAGTGTCAAAGCAGAAGATTAAATGAGTTGATTATGATTTTGAAAGTTTATTTAAAATTACTGCAATTGCATCTTAACTGAATTGTATATATATTTGTTTCAAGGTGTGATAGAGTAGCAAAGAGGAAAATTTTGAGATTTGATGATGAATATATGAAAATGCTTATTTTTAAAATGATTTATTCAGTTATGGTATATTTTTATTAACATGTTTAAAAAATAGCAATTAAAAAAGAGAGACTAAAAGTAAAACACAATTATTTCAGGCCTGAAAAACCTCACCTGTATGATTTAGTTTTTGCAATGTCTTTAAAAGAAATGATTATTGAGAAGAAAAAAAAATTATTGGAATGAAATAATATTCTGGTTTTAGTGTTAGCTTTGGCATTAACTAATTGTTAAATATCCAGCCTGCAAAGTCACTTCTACTGTAGGTAGAGTAACCAATTACTGATTGAAATTTCCTCTATCTATCACCTCTTTCAGTGACCACTCCTTACGGATGACATGGGAGAGGTACATGAACACCATGCGGATGTGTATATGTCAGTTGTACCACTCCTGACATCACGCCCCTCCGCTGCGCCTGACCCGTACAGCTACTGTGCAGGAAAAGGTCACATCCGAATGACCCTTGCTTCAAACAAGTAAGAAAAACTAGGTCGTTGGTTGGTTAGAGTGGAGAGGGAGGGAGGGAGGGAGGGAGGGAGTGGTTTGTATGTGTTGGTGAGGATGCACATGGATGAGTGAGTGTTGATGAGGATACATATAGATGAGTGAGTGTTGGTGAGTTTCATTGAGTGTTGGTGAGCTTCATTGAGTGTTGGTGAGCTTCATTGAGTGTTGGTGAGCTTCATTGAGTGTTGGTGAGCTTCATTGAGTGTTGGTGAGTTTCAGTGAGTGTTGGTGAGTTTCATTGAGTGTTGGTGAGCTTCATTGAGTGTTGGTGAGCTTCATTGAGTGTTGGTGAGCTTCATTGAGTGTTGGTGAGCTTCATTGAGTGTTGGTGAGTTTCATTGAGTGTTGGTGAGTTTCATTGAGTGTTGGTGAGCTTCATTGAGTGTTGGTGAGCTTCATTGAGTGTTGGTGAGCTTCATTGAGTGTTGGTGAGCTTCATTGAGTGTTGGTGAGTTTCATTGAGTGTTGGTGAGCTTCATTGAGTGTTGGTGAGCTTCATTGAGTGTTGGTGAGCTTCATTGAGTGTTGGTGAGCTTCATTGAGTGTTGGTGAGCTTCATTGAGTGTTGGTGAGCTTCATTGAGTGTTGGTGAGTTTCAGTGAGTGTTGGTGAGCTTCATTGAGTGTTGGTGAGCTTCATTGAGTGTTGGTGAGTTTCATTGAGTGTTGGTGAGCTTCATTGAGTGTTGGTGAGCTTCATTGAGTGTTGGTGAGCTTCATTGAGTGTTGGTGAGTTTCAGTGAGTGTTGGTGAGCTTCATTGAGTGTTGGTGAGCTTCATTGAGTGTTGGTGAGCTTCATTGAGTGTTGGTGAGCTTCATTGAGTGTTGGTGAGCTTCATTGAGTGTTGGTGAGTTTCAGTGAGTGTTGATGAGCTTCATTGAGTGTTGGTGAGTTTCAGTGAGTGTTGATGAGCTTCATTGAGTGTTGGTGAGTTTCAGTGAGTGTTGGTGAGCTTCATTGAGTGTTGGTGAGCTTCATTGAGTGTTGGTGAGTTTCAGTGAGTGTTGGTGAGCTTCATTGAGTGTTGGTGAGTTTCAGTGAGTGTTGATGAGCTTCATTGAGTGTTGGTGAGCTTCATTGAGTGTTGGTGAGCTTCATTGAGTGTTGGTGAGCTTCATTGAGTGTTGGTGAGCTTCATTGAGTGTTGGTGAGTTTCAGTGAGTGTTGATGAGCTTCATTGAGTTTGGTGAGCTTCATTGAGTGTTGGTGAGCTTCATTGAGTGTTGGTGAGCTTCATTGAGTGTTGGTGAGCTTCATTGAGTGTTGGTGAGCTTCATTGAGTGTTGGTGAGCTTCATTGAGTGTTGGTGAGTTTCAGTGAGTGTTGATGAGCTTCATTGAGTGTTGGTGAGCTTCATTGAGTGTTGGTGAGCTTCATTGAGTGTTGGTGAGCTTCATTGAGTGTTGGTGAGTTTCAGTGAGTGTTGGTGAGCTTCATTGAGTGTTGGTGAGCTGGGTGTGAATAGGTGAGGATGAATAGGGATGGAGTGAAGTTGGGTGAAAATGTATTGGTTTGGCTGAAGATGGATGAGGTTGTGTTTGGATAAGTAAAGATGCGTAGAGATGGGTCAAGTTAGTTGTGGATGGTTAAGATGGGTGATGTTTGGTAAGGATGGTAGTTTGGTCATTTTTTTCTTTCTCCCTTTCTTTGTAATCATTTTTATGAGTTTTTTTTTTTTTTTTAGGGAAATTAAGATGATAGATTTGCTTGTCCTTCTTCTTCTTCTTCTTCTTCTTCTTCTTCTTCTTCTTCTTCTTCTTCTTCTTCTTCTTCTTCTTCTTCTTCTTCTTCTTCTTTGTCTCCCTCATATAAGGGAAGTTGAAGTGATGAGTCATGAATTTTAGAGCTACATTTTAATTGATATTTATATATACAGTGCATATGCAAAAATATAGTTGCATGGTAAGATTTTCTATAAGAGCATCTTATTTTAAGATCATTACTTTTATTACATGTTTTTTTACCTTTAATCATGTAGACTAATTAATTTTGTATTTTTTTTTTCTCTTTCTAGGGTTGCAAACGAGCTTAGATTGGTAGAGCAGCCTTAGTCACATCAAACAATTTATCGTCTTTTACTAATTGCATGGTAGATGATTGCTAAAAGATTTTTAAGCGCAGGCATTTTGAATAGAGGAAAGGAGAGGATTTGAGGAAGCTTTGGTAAAGGGATATGTACATCATAAGGATTTAAAGAAAGAATGTTCAACTCCTTTTTTTTTTTTACCTGTTTATTTAAGTAATTATTTATATATATTTTTTTAAGGGGTTGGGGATAACTTATTAAACTTTGCAATATGCTGAGAGTGTGCCAGTCTCTGATTAAACTACCAGGTTGATGAGAGTGTAATGAGACATTCATTAACATATTATGACAGATTGTATTTTAGGACTGAATGAATTACTTATCACTCATTAGCAGCTGTGGTGAGACTATGTTAAAAAATATGCACAATGCCTGTTCTGTATTGTGCAATGTCCAGTGTTGATTAATATTCTTCTAATATTTGCCAGGGAGGAGAATCTAATACGTTTGGTTATTTTCATTTTGGAATTGAAGGCGTTAATGAAATAAAAATTGGTATGTGTACGTATCATTATGGTGAGGTTGAGTTTATTGTGCATTATAAAGACAATAAATATTATTAACTAATATCATCTATTGTTACATTAAAAAGACACCATATTAAAAATGATGTTTTATATAGATACATATAAATATCTAATACGAATGACAAGATTATAGGGAAAGTAAATTGATTTGTATTCATACTATTATATTCCTCATTTTATTGTAAAATTCTTGTACTTTTTATTTAGTCTTAAGTTAATTAATATATATGCATATAAATTCAGTGTGCAGTTGAGGTACTATAAGTCCTTGTTCTTAATTAGAGAAATTTTGAAAGACATTTACAAAAATCTGACTTTTGGTTGGTAATATGTTCCTTTTGTATGTGATATTCATGCACATATTTTATTTTCATGTATACTAATACTTATGTAAATAACATATGTAAATCTACATTGTAAATAGAAAATACTGCCATTAATCCATTCTGCCAGGTACATGCACTGTTCACTGTAGTACTGTTTTGTTAATTTATTTTACACATTAATGGCTTCACAATTTCTTAATTGTTCAGGAGTCAGTTACTAGCCCTACTGACGTCATCTATTTACCACTTTACTTTATGGAAAAAAGTCCTTAGTTCTAATACTGGTGTCATTATTATGAACAGTATTATCATTATTATTGATATTATTATTTCAGTGTTATTAACAAGCCTTTTTTTTTTTTTTTTTTTTTTTTTTTTTTTTTTTTTTTTTTTTTTTTTTTTTTTTTTTTTTTTTTTTTTTTTTTTTTTTTTTTTTTTTTTTTTTTTTTTTTTTTTTTTTTTTTTTTTTTTTTTTTTTTTTTTTTTTTTTTTTTTTTTTTTTTTTTTTTTTTTTTTTTTTTTTTTTTTTTTTTTTTTTTTTTTTTTTTTTTTTTTTTTTTTTTTTTTTTTTTTTTTTTTTTTTTTTTTTTTTTTTTTTTTTTTTTTTTTTTTTTTTTTTTTTTTTTTTTTTTTTTTTTTTTTTTTTTTTTTTTTTTTTTTTTTTTTTTTTTTTTTTTTTTTTTTTTTTTTTTTTTTTTTTTTTTTTTTTTTTTTTTTTTTTTTTTTTTTTTTTTTTTTTTTTTTTTTTTTTTTTTTTTTTTTTTTTTTTTTTTTTTTTTTTTTTTTTTTTTTTTTTTTTTTTTTTTTTTTTTTTTTTTTTTTTTTTTTTTTTTTTTTTTTTTTTTTTTTTTTTTTTTTTTTTTTTTTTTTTTTTTTTTTTTTTTTTTTTTTTTTTTTTTTTTTTTTTTTTTTTTTTTTTTTTTTTTTTTTTTTTTTTTTTTTTTTTTTTTTTTTTTTTTTTTTTTTTTTTTTTTTTTTTTTTTTTTTTTTTTTTTTTTTTTTTTTTTTTTTTTTTTTACCTGTTTATTTAAGTAATTATTTATATATATTTTTTAAGGGGTTGGTGATAACTTATTAAACTTTGCAATATGCTGAGAGTGTGCCAGTCTCTGATTAAACTACCAGGTTGATGAGAGTGTAATGAGACATTCATTAACATATTATGACAGATTGTATTTTAGGACTGAATGAATTACTTATCACTCATTAGCAGCTGTGGTGAGACTATGTTAAAAAATATGCACAATGCCTGTTCTGTATTGTGCAATGTCCAGTGTTGATTAATATTCTTCTAATATTTGCCAGGGAGGAGAATCTAATACATTTGGTTATTTTCATTTTGGAATTGAAGGCGTTAATGAAATAAAAATTGGTATGTGTACGTATCATTATGGTGAGGTTGAGTTTATTGTGCATTATAAAGACAATAAATATTATTAACTAATATCATCTATTGTTACATTAAAAAGACACCATATTAAAAATGATGTTTTATATAGATACATATAAATATCTAATACGAATGACAAGATTATAGGGAAAGTAAATTGATTTGTATTCATACTATTATATTCCTCATTTTATTGTAAAATTCTTGTACTTTTTATTTAGTCTTAAGTTAATTAATATATATGCATATAAATTCAGTGTGCAGTTGAGGTACTATAAGTCCTTGTTCTTAATTAGAGAAATTTTGAAAGACATTTACAAAAATCTGACTTTTGGTTGGTAATATGTTCCTTTTGTATGTGATATTCATGCACATATTTTATTTTCATGTATACTAATACTTATGTAAATAACATATGTAAATCTACATTGTAAATAGAAAATACTGCCATTAATCCATTCTGCCAGGTACATGCACTGTTCACTGTAGTACTGTTTTGTTAATTTATTTTACACATTAATGGCTTCACAATTTCTTAATTGTTCAGGAGTCAGTTACTAGCCCTACTGACGTCATCTATTTACCACTTTACTTTATGGAAAAAAGTCCTTAGTTCTAATACTGGTGTCATTATTATGAACAGTATTATCATTATTATTGATATTATTATTTCAGTTAACAAGCCTAATAGTGATAGAAATAAAAACTTTTCTTTCTGAAAATTCAAGGAATAGTACAAACTCCTTGGAGAGCTGTGTATGTGATATTGACAAACTTAAATCAAGGTGGACAGGGCAGGTGTACATACCCTCCTGGTATCAGCTGGTTAAACAGCTATATTAATGTCAGTGAAAAGAGATTTTGACTTATGGTCATAACTAACTTCTTTCTTATCTTTTCTTTAATTCCAGTGCACATATCAAACCTAACTTACACTTTGCTTGGGCTGAAATTGTATATACAAGTCATACCATTGCCATGAACAAGAGAGATCTCATGATTCTCGGCAAGAGGCGAGAGATTCTCAACATATCTGTTGCACATTGAGATACAGCTAATGTTGGACACCCATGAATTATTATTTAGCCAAATTTTGTGAGATTCATTAACATGAGAGGGATGGCTACCAAATGTCGAGGTTATTCTACTTGGGATTAACCTCTGGGTGCAAAAATATACTGCTTATATGAGGTCTTTTAGGCAGTGGTGTGTACCATGAATTTCCCAAAAGGCTGTTGATGATTTTTGAGGCCTAGGGGGAACTACTTTCATCTTGAATAGTTTGTCTTGACAGTATTATTTTGTGGAGAGAGACACCAGATTCATTGTTTAAATTTTCCTTGGTTATGATAATTGTATTATTTGTTATCTGTCTGCTGACATGCCCTTCAACATTTTAAGAGTAATATTCCTTATAAAACAAAATAGCTATTATGACACTAAATCTGTGATTTTGTTCTGAGTGGTAATAATTAATGTTGATAATAGGTCTTCATATTTTATTTTTTATTTTTATGATCTTTTGAATTATATTATTATGCATCCTAGTCTTCCTTACTAATTTCATATTATGCAGTAATCATTGCAAGGCTTTGTACAAAGTTGAATTATGAACCTTCATTAATTACTGCAGAAGTGTTGTTTATTTCTGCATTCTGTAGAAATGAATCATATCCTAAATACGCTATTAAAATAATGGTAAAGTGATATTAATTGTCATGAGAACACACTAAAAAGAAAAGAAGAAAATAGGGAGATACTTTTATTGCACATCACCATTTACCAAGTAGCCTAAGCACCTCATAGTGAGACAACAGCATGACTTGTCTAGAACAGCATACTCATTTCATACTTGAACTCTTTAAGTGTTTGCAAATAAATGGTATGTAAAAGTGATCAAATAACTCTTTGTGTGTAAACCTGAATATTTAAGTGTTTACAGATTTACGAAATTAATGTTATTCCTGTATTTGATAATCTTTAGCTGTGTGATGATATAAGAAGTTACTGAATTTACACATTTGTCTTACAAGCTCAGTTCTGACATACTATTTGATGTATATATATAGCTTTTTAAATTTTTTTATACAAAGATGCTCATATGAAGTACCTGAAACACAAAATTGTTGAACATCTGTTGAAACAGTAGGCTTACATTGAGAATTCTAGAGTTTAAATACACCACAAAGACACTCATCTGCGATCTTGATTATGTAACTACCTTAAAACACTAGTTTCAACATGCATTAACACTCAACACATCATATGATCGAGTACATTGATAAATGTTGAATACATGTATATATTTGTATATTGATACAAAGGCAGTGTGTAATCAGTCACCAATAAAATTTGTTGTTGAAGTGGGAAAATCACATGAACAATTTTCTGTAAACAAACTTATATAATGTAATACAATGCAACAGTTATATGTCATAGGATTTAATATGCAGGGCAAGTGTAAAGAAGATGGAAGTGAGGGCATATGTATGATAATGATATGTTAGATTTGATGCAATGTTAGAGCTGGTGAAAGAAAAGTTGTAATATATGTAATTGATGGAGAAAATTGTCTGCAAAATAAATTATATAGATTGCCAGTTTGTGTTTTTAACAACTTTATTTATGGTAAGTTCATTAAAACATGATACAGCTCTTTTGATTTAAGATATTTGTTTTGATATTTAGTTTCACTTACTTAAGGACCAGTTGATATTGTTAACATATATAACTGTCATGAAAATTAATAACTTCATAGCACAAGATATACTTGACAAGTTTTTATGATTTTCTTCAATAAATAAAAAAAAAAAAAAAAATATATATATATATATATATACATATATATATATATATATATATATATATATATATATATATATATATATATATATATATATATGTATATATGTATATATATATATATGTACTATATGTATATATATATATATATATATATGTATATATATATGTATATATATATATATATATATATATATATATATATATATATATATATATATATATATATATACATACATACATACATATACATACACACACATACACATATATGTGTATGTGTGGGGGGGGGTGCGTGCGTGTGTGTATATCTCTTGTGCTATAAACCCCTCTAATCCCTTGCTACTTGTAATGGGGGAGCTTAGGAGATGGAGACTGGGGCCCAATATGGGGTATCAGCCTTACCTTGGCCCTCAGCCCTTGCCACAATTAATTTTGCATGGTCTTTTCTTCTCCCCCTTTCCTTTTCCTTTTCTTCTTCACCCCTTCATCTGTCCACTTCTTAAGGTGTGAGAGCAGTGATGAAAGGATGAAGGGCTGGATTTGTGTCAGTCATGAACGGCCTCCAGAAGCCATGGGCACTGTATTCCCTTGGTTAATTGCCTTGCCCTTACCCCTCATGGGGACTCTGAGGGTAGACCGTTTCTTCTCCCCATTTATTTCACGCTCACCATGGCGAACAGTGGAAATTACTTACCCTTATTAGGGACATTAAAGCTTGCCCCTTCAATCATTTATTTATTTATTTATTTATTTATTTTTTATTTATTTATTTATTTATTTTTTGGTCCCATGTTCATGTGAACGTAGGGGACATGTTCGCAGAGAAACATGCTTACTAGGCCGCGGAATGATGCGGTAGGGTGGCCAGTTCCTTTCCGCCCCGATCTTGACCCCAACATGCTAACGTCAGCATATTAGTACTCATTCACAGCTGAGTCGACTGAGAGGGGCAGCGGCTGGGCGCGAACCCGGGACCTTGCGATTGCAAAGCCAGCGCTCTACCACTGAGCTATGCCAATTAGCCTATCTAAATTTCACTGGTTTCCCGACTCCTGCCTCTCATTTGATCATGGCTCCAACCACTGATACTAGTGGGTGAGTGGGTGCTAATCACTTGGATTTGTTAGGATTAGCGAGTTCAGTAGAGTGC